TGAGCAGTACGGAAGGTATAATCACCTGCAGGGCCACCTTGTAGAGCTGCGTGAGGGTGAGGATGGCCTTCTTCACCACGTTGACGCTCTCGTCCTTCAGCAGCATGTTGAGGTTGGCGATGAGCTTCAGCAGCAGCTCATTGTCCCGCTTGCTGTCGCAGGCGGAAAGCGCAGGATGAGCCCCGACCTCAGCTAGTGCCCGCTGACCCCGTCCGGCAGAGGCACGACAATCTCAGGGCTGTTAACCCCCCCCCAACCCCCAGACCAACAGCATGGGCAGCAGAGCAACCGGATCGGCACCAAGCCCTGCCACATTAAAATGAGCACGTGCCCAGACGCGGTCATGCCAGTTTAAGTACCAGCCACCGGAACGGAGGTCCCCGTCCTGCCCTGCGCAATACACAGTGCACAATGCAGAAGGGCTGGGCTGTACACGACACCGCGGTCTGCGTGTGTTGGTGCCTGCTGTGCATCGTGCTAGGTGCTGTGTCATTTTGAGCTGCTGGGACGTGGAAGTAAGACACACTAAGTCAACAAGCGAAAGATAAAGGGGGGGACAGAAAAAGATATCCCTGAGTTTAGAAAGTAAGGAAACTTTAAAGCGGATGGAGAACATTTCTGGCTTGTAAACGGACTACGTGCTCTTGATGATCGTCAGTGATCCACGGGAGATCAAGCGATTTCACGGCAAGGGTCACTCACCACGCCTCCTCGATGAAGCCGATCACAAACTTGCGAACTTCCATGGACTTGTCCGTCTGGAACGCTATCATCTCCTGCGTGAAGCGGGAGGGATGGGACAGAGGAGAGAGCCGGGAATGAGAGAGGGGGGACTGGATCCGAAATCCCCGAGACTTGCCTGGGAAGAACTGCATCACAATCGCCAGGAAAGCCCCCGTTTCTTACGTGGTTATCATGACTTGGCAGTGATTTCAAACACTACTGCAGTACTCCCCCCCAGTCAGCACCTTCAGGACTCTGCACTTACGTCTAAGAAGTTGTCGAGGAGCGAGGGGTCCTTGTTGATGATCAGCTCCTGCACCTGTGGAGAGGAGACACCAGACTGGGTGAGACCAAGCGACAGCGTCTGAAAGCGTCTCCCCGTGCGGGGGGAGCCCTGACTGCGGGGGTGCGATCCAGCCTGCGGGGGAGCCCTGACTGCGGGGGGAACTCACCCTGTGGGGGCGCCCTGACTGCGGGGGTGCCACCCAGCCTGCGGGGGAGCCCTGACTGCGGGGGG